TGGAGACTCTTCATCCTCCACAGCAATTTTGAGAGCACTGAGCTTCTCAATGGAATGACATTCGTGTATTTCTGATTCCTGGGCGGTTGTTACACCACAAGACACGTTTGTTCGCGTAGGAGAGTTACACACAAGATGCTCACCCGAACAACTAGGGAATCCTGTGCATTCTCTAGAGCGACAACAACACTGCATGCCGAGCACAACAAAAGAGCTAGCACCAACGCGCGAGACGTAAAACGAGCGGCCATGGCTATGAAAGACAGTGTAACAATATCAATGTTGAAACGTTGATGAGTGGCCGCAGGCTGGCTGGCACGGCATCGGATAATTCCGAAGGCCGATGCGACGTGTTACAAGTTCTTCCAAGCCAAGATTTTGCCAAGGTCATACAGCTTAGCCTTCAACCACAGCAGACCAAGACAGATCTTTCGAGTCTCGATGTACCCTAACGTCCAAGAGCAGGGTGCCCTGCAGGCTGCTGAAAACCTCATGAATGAAATCATGGCGCGTTATGATCCATCTCACGACGCCTTTCATGGTCAGTGACTACACGCGATATTTACATGTAACCCGTGTTCAACGGTCCAGATCATGCATCATTATACTGTGTATAAACAGTGCAGCGTGTGCGCCAAACGGCCCTATCAATAGCCCGCGCTCTTTCCGCCCAGCAACCTGATTTACTGGTCGTGGAATTAGCAGCTCTACTTCACGACGTTCTGGACAAGAAATACGTGTCAAAAGCCGAAGCAGCAGACCCATATGGGTATTTCCTTCCTTTTTTCCAGTCATTGTCTTCGGAGCACGGACTAGACCTGATTAGTGATGGCCGGGCACGTCGGATCGTAAAGGTCGTAGAAAACGTCTCTTGGACAACTGAGAAGGAACTGAGGTCGACAGGAAAAATTGACGAGTGGCATCGCGTATGTGTTGAACTTCATTGCGTACAAGACGCGGACCGACTTGATGCGATAGGAGCGTTTGGTAAGTTGGCAGAACAGTGATCCAAACGCATTGTTCTCAAGTCTGCGCCAGGAATCATGCGGTGTGCTGCGTATAGCGCTGCCGTAAATCGGTAACTATCTTAAAGCCCTGGGTAACAGACATCGATGAGAGTATGATTTATCCAGCCCACTCCATGCACCTCCAGGTCGTCTCGACACTGCGGTACAGCACTTCTACGATAAACTCCTACATATCCAGGAAAGGCTAAAGACAGAGCCAGGGAAACAGATGGGCGCAAAGCGACACCAATTTGTAGGTGACGTGAATGCATGGCACGTTCTGAATCTCACATTCACTGATTGCGAAGATGGTCGATTTCTTGAATTCCGTGGAAAACGAATACAGTGCAGGAGCACTCGAAGTCGTCTGCACTGCGTAATGGAACACGTTGCATTCTTGGCATTTCGAGGAACACCGCCCGCACCCGAGAATCCTTGAAGAACAATAGATGAAATATAGATACCTCCTCTATACTTATAGCTACCATTCTCATTATACCAGGGCATTGAACTGTCACATCATTGCTAGTCCGTCTATCGACGGCTATGTCATTACAGAACAGACCTCTTAAAAATGGTAAATATGACACCAATAATTCCATCAGACCTCTGTTGGTGTCTGTCAACAATGATCCAGTCACTAGTACTTGGCTTCCTCCACCGTATCAGTAGTGTTCGAAGGATCGGGAGATTCGACGGCTTTGACAGAGGGGAGAGCCGTTGCTCTCCAGCCACCTCTGAATGTAGCGATCCCATTGACGAAGCTGAGAATGGTGACCCAGATCTGCAAAATGTGTCAGTAACACAAAGTACACACTTGAAATTAACGCACGTCGTTTGTGAAGATACCACTCTCCAGAGACCTGACAAAAGATCAGTATACATGTAATACATACAAAAAGGACGAACCAATGAAGGGCCAAGGGTAAATTAGCAGCGTTGGCCACCAATTCATTCCCAAGAGAGTCCCATCGCTTTCGGAGGTCCTCTTTATCCTCAGCAGAAAAACCTTTCCCCTTTCTTAAATTCCTCTGCCTCGTCAACAGAAGTTTTCTGTCCTCTCTCAGGTGGGCGAATTGAAGTACGATGTAGAGCAGCCAGAATCGGCAAGACCAGAGGATTAATTTATTCTCATTCAATGAAATGCGTTTCGAGCTGCGACCAAGTATAGCGGAAAGCGAGGGAATCGAGTTGGGAATCAGATTATGGGATCGCAAATAATAAAGATGTTCAAGGGGGTAAAACCCAAGCATGGACCATCCCTGAAGTCGCTCGATAGTGTGCAACGTACGAGTTGGCGGGGGGTTGCGCTCCATGGAGATCATCCACTGAAATATCGGCAGAAGACCTGAAATCGAGTTCAGGGCATCACGTTAAGCAGAAGTTATTCAGGATGCCCACCCCAAAATCTACCCAACATTCTAGCATCGCTAACAATACTGGCAAAACTTGCCAGAGAAGGGGCAACATGGCTGCTCGCATCTTTTCTAATACCGGCGCGGTGTTGAAGCCGCGCGCGCCAGTGCAGGAACGGCACTATCAATTTGAGTGTATACTGTATGAGCTGTTGAATACGTGGTCAGTCAATATTTTGATCGTGTCACGACTAAGTATGTACCGTAAAAAACTTGCTAGAACGAGAAGTGAGGAAGAAGTGGCTATTAGACGACTGAACTCAAAGAAGTGTTAAAACGTACTCGCTACCGCTCCAGGTGCTAAGATACCGCACGAGATGATTTAATGTCTCAGAGGATGGGACATTTGAGAAAGAACCGAGTGTAATATCATTGAGTCTGGCTACGGAATGCAGTTTTGAAGCTCGCGACATCTTGTCTGGTCGATGGGCTCGTCTATCTTCTGCAGCTCTGAGAGAGTACGTCTCGGTAATTTTCGGTAGTCTGTCATGATAACGCTTTTGCGGCACGTGAGCACGATCTTGCGCACCCCGTGGCAAAAGGTTATATAATCAATTGTCTCGTATATAAAGGGTCCTCTTTGCTTGGTTGATTTCCTTGAACAATTTTTGAGGACTCAAAAGTTCGGGCCTGATATCAGCTCTTCCGCCTTCTCGTCCGCGTTCCCGTCCTCTAGACGAACGAACAGCACTCGCTGTGCTTGGCCTTCCCTTTGCTGTAACTGTAGCCTTGTTCGACTGCTGTCATTTTGTCCTGGAGGCATCGCCTTGGCTGAGGCTCATGATTGGCAGAGAACAGCAGGAGAGGCCTGCGGTTACTCAAGGGGAGACCCACAACCATATATATTTGTACTACAGGCTTTATTACCGAGAATTCAAATCTTATTCATCCTGAATGTCATGGCTGGAGTGTTTTCCCATGAATCTCATTTTTGATTCATCGGAAGGTCATAATGCAGTATGCATGATAAGAGTTGATGGTGCGCTTGCTAATCCCAGCGAAAACTTACAGAGCTGATCAACAGCCGCGATCCCCATTCAAGTCGTGGTGGGTTGCGACTAATGCGTCCCAACTTATCAGGTTCTACCACGTGTTATTGCGCCTGGCCATATTTCGTGAATTTTCTTCATGACGGTCCTCATAAACTCCACATAGTAGGCGTCGTAATGGGTTGCAGTGATCCGAGACACCTTGATTGATACACATCAAGGACCAAGGTGTAAGCCAAAACAGAGCAGAGATAAGTGCTTGATCATGGTTTTTTATGTTACCCCTCGTTTACCTGCCTCGTCCATAAAGCCTATCGACGCACACACGGCACAACGAACTACGCGTTTCTCGGAGGTTACGGAGTCGCCTCCCCGAGTTCACCGCTATGACTCTAGATCCCAGTCCTTCAATCCATATTGTATTTCCAGATGGTGATTCTCGATCTACTTAATTTCGGCTACAGTTTCGCAGTCGTCTACTCAGCTTGGGCGAGTTCGATTGCAGTGAGCTGGATAGTATTCAAGAACCGCTGATATCCTTACAGTATTTCCAGTACTACGTAGGTTTATGCCTCCGGAGCAGCCTTATCTCGCTAAGAAGCTAGGAACTTCAAGGAATGGTTTCATAGGCCAAACCACACACGTTGCCAGATATAAATAATCGCGGCGGAGGTAACTCTTGTCGCTCATGCTCAACGGTTCTGTATCGATCAATTTTTGTTTTGACCTTTCGACTCTGGACCGGAGTGCAGCGGAATTCTAAACGTTGATTTATTTGCGCAAATTTATCGCAAATTTGACCTTATGTAAAATTGACTCTAAATCTAAAAAAATTATTGACACTTCCGACATACGGCCACTTTGTCTTGCAGTGACACTCAGATCTCATTCCTCTTGGTTTCTTTCTTTTTCGTTGAGCCATAGGGTACTACGTGTGATAGCCAAATAAAATCTTCAAATCTAATACTCAAGCAGGACACAGCCTAGCGCCATTTTGTACTTCAATGAACTATTTTATCTAATACTTCGCTGGCCCCTATATCACAATGTGCGGCAGTCGCGATCAGTGACTGCGTCAAAACGTCTCCAGCGGCCAACTAGCGAACTCGGTGACTCCGGTCTTCCCATTGTTTTTTGAACACTGTCTCAAAACAATTTTTTTAACAAGCATTCGAACAGTCATGTGATCTACACTGACACGACAAAGGGGGACAAAATGCAATCGAGACAGGGGTAACTTCTGCATACTAGTATCCAGAGTCTGAGAGAATGGGATAGGTAAAATTCCCCTCAGAGCCGATGTCGCCAGGTCCAACTATTGTTCAGACGCAAGGTGAGAGGCTCGTCAACTTCGATGGTTTCGCTACAGTTGACGCATCTTTGAAGTCGTAAACTTTATCCTACCCATTATAGCGACCCTCGTCACGTCCTTCCGCTTGTATTGCCGCGCGCGCCGACATCTTCTGTGGATCGATGACGCATGGGCAGCCTGCGCCATGATATTCGATATCATCCTGATGATTTGCAGTGCTTTGTATTTGAGAGGCTACGGTGCGTCTGCTGCATGTGATGGCACACAATTCTGAAAACACACAGTGCTTCATCCTCAATGGGCAAAGGTAGCACTTTATTACACGTGCGTTCTCCAGTATATCGTGGTTCTTAAGAGACACTAACTGCATACATTAAGGTTGACACAATGCTTTTATGGAGTTGTCTGGTGAGTGGCTATGAGCATGTTAAGGGCACAGCTAACATACGCGCACAGGTGTTCCCGGTTATCTATTTTGTTTACAGTTGTGCGACTGGCATACTGGGGGACCCAGAGGAGGATACTCATCTGCATTGCAATCATCTTTGGCGTTGTATGGGGTCTACTTTTTGCACAAGTGTGGTGGACTTGTGAATTGAACCCCAGTTGGAAAAAGTTACCACGTCCGCAGTGCCCTCTCGGCAGAAATGTCGCGATAGCACAGATCGTCAGTAGGTTAACAGGATTTAATACAAACCATTAATTTTCTGACCTTATTTCAGCCGACGTTTTAGGAGACACTGTCCTTATCTTGGCTCCATTTCTTCTCATTTACAAAGCTACATTGACGACGGCGCAAAGAGTCCGGGTGATCTGCCTGTTCTCTACATCAGCAATCACCACAGCTGTCAGTCTCACTCATGCATATTACGTCTTCACTGTGGGGGAACTAAAGGAGGCAATATCTGCCATGTTCGAGGTACAGTATTAGTGTTTCAATGCTCAGACAGGCTCGCTGATACCCATGTTAGGCATCTGTATCTCTAATCGTCGCGAACTTGAGTGTGGTCGTTACATTCTTCTTGCGCATGCTTGCAGATGACGAAACGATCTCGCGACCACAGATGGAATCGACTTTAAATTTTAGCAACAGCCTGGAAATTGAAGAGGTGTCTTAGCGGAAATCGTAACAGTGCTTGTAATATTCGGAGAGTCTTAAGTCTAGCTAGAGCGGTCAGTCTCCTTGAAGGTATACGGTTCACTCGACTTACTCACCCCAATCATAGATTAGCTGCGGCAACTGCGAAACCGCGGTCAAAATTAGATTCAGCCATCACCGTCATCCCCAGGCTGGCCATCTACGGACATACGAAGTGGCTTGAGATATGACTTGCTTAGTAGACTAACGGCTGGATCATCGGAGACTAGGTCATAGTAATCGAGGATGGAGGTAAGGGAGCGGCGGACTTGCAGGGACGTATCTCGATGGCGGTCTTGGTATGCCACCATCTGGAATCTGGCGCTTTTAGTCTCCCATGGTTAGTCTCAGGACGATATCTGTTCCTTTGATTGAAGTATGTATCTTTGGATGTAATCAAGAAGAAAGGGATGTCAATCCAAGAGCCCTCAATTAAATCAAAGTATATTGGTCGTGTAGCTGCGGAGTAGTAACACATGTGGAATGTTTGAATACTACAAAGATCGAAGGGCTATTCGTGACTTCGGCGAGAAGACACGGTAAAAAAGAAGACGCGGATGCACCCCCACGGCCGAGCAGGAAGCCCGGACTTGCATAGCTTGCGATGCGCGTGCTTCCAACCATATGTACATCTCTGAGTCTATTTGTTCATCTATATCATTCTTGCGCTGGTTTCTAAGGATGAGGATATACCTGGACGCACCCGGATTTGACATTCAGGCTACGCCAACACCCCAGAGCTCCTCACGATAGTCCCGCAACTCTTCCACACATCAACTCGCAAACAGAGTAAAGCCTTTCTACGCGCTCTGCGTTCTCGAGGAGTGAATTCAAAAATACAGACTCAGATACACGGAGAGGTGATTTGACAGCAAGGTAGATGGCGGACATCGCTACTCCGCAGGTGTACCAGGATGATAAATCAATGTGAGTGTGAGATTCGTTAGGTGGTGGGAGTGGTCGATGGAGCATCGTAGGAGATTCGATCATTGGTTGATGCAATATCATAGGGTCCATGTTATAGGCCAATTCGTTGACGCTAATGTTAGATCAGCGTGCACGTGCAGGTGGAAGCAGGTCATACCTCTCGTAAATCGCTATGAGCAATCCATCATACCTGGTTAGATACTTGAACAACGTGCTTGACAAGTGAGATTGAATTAGAGGTCAGGAGGAAACGAGGGGAGCGAATGCCTGAACGCAGATTGTGAATCACACGACTGCGAAAAACGGAGAATCAAGGTATCATATATGCACTGATATAACGTACCTCTGGAAGGTGCTTTAGCACTGCGGAAACAGACTTTGGTTATGAGACTGCAAAGCAGTCACATACGCAGGCAACGAACACCGCAAAAAGTTCGACACCAAGAGTCTAACGACAGTGTCAATATCTCGCATCAGCTAGCTATTACACCGCACCTAAAGGCTAACTACCCTTCTCCTTGCATGAATGATCGGCAGACGGATGCCTTGTCCATTGGAAACAGGTTCGGCACGCTCCAGCACATTCTGGATAATGGAGGATCGAACCCAAGAATACAGAAACTGTGTGAGGAAGTGAGTCGGCGATGTTTTGCAGTGAGTGGATGCCATGGGGGATGGATGCTTTATAGGTGTACGAAGACGAGCGGTTGAATGGTCCAGGTGGTCATGTCGGTGTTTGGCTGGCCGTGGTACAGTCGCTTGGATCCTTCTAGCAAGAGTACCATAATGTGAAGAAATATCTTGAGAATGGCGGAAGCGGGAAGGCTTGCAGCAGATTGGTGGGTTCCCTTCACTGACACAGCTGATGTGACGGACCCCGGCCATGTCGGACATGATCATAATGTCCTTGATGTACTTCAAATGTACTCGACTCAAAGCCCGACTACAACCGTGAGCTTCGCAGCCGAGAACAATGTATACCCGTGGCATGTCCGAAGAATACTGATATTACAGCTGAATGAGTCGTACCTGTGGGAGGGGAAAAGATGGGTCGTACATACCTGACAGAAGCGGTGGAGTGCAGGTGGAGCTCGAGTGGAGCACGCACATGCGCAACCTATGCCAAACGCACCACACTAAATCCATTATGTATCACAGTCGACATATCAATATTTTGAATGGGTGGTGTCTAGAGCCTGCAATGTGCTTGCCATCGCATGTCATGTCATGAACAGTTGCAGTTCGGAGTCGGCGTCTACATCTATATCGTTGTTAGCTTTTGTACTAGGCCAGAGATGTGTGTAGATAGAAAAGCAAATAAATGAACTAGCAGAATGGCACAACTAACCTCCCTTGAGTCTGGACTGCCAACGTACACCCTTCAACGCTTCACCTTCCTCTTACCTCATCCAGAAAAGGACCCGTGATGCGTGCGTGCTCGCTCTCTTCTACCTCGGTTATAATATCACAACGATGCAGAAATTAGGGTAAGGGCAATGCGATCGCAATAAAACCCGATGCTAAGACGTACCGGTGTCGCTAAACTCTTCACAGTTGGTGCTGATTTTGTTTTGGATATAGTGGTGGGTGCATGCATTTAGATTTAAATCTTTGTAGTGGAATCCGTGAAGTTTCCGTAGTAGTTAGGGATGTGGATAGGAACGCAATATGAGTGTGGGTGCGCCAAGTGCGTGATGGCAGTACCAATATCTCGCACAAACCAGCTACTGAACCGACACCTAAAGGCTAACGATCCCTCTCTGACTCTTGTATAAATGATCGACGGACGGATGTCTTGTCCGTTGGAACCGGTTCGGCACGCTCCGGCACGTTCTGGATAGTGGAGGAGCGAACCCAAGAATTCAGAAGCTGTGTGTGAGGAAGTGAGTTGGCGATGCTTCTGCGGTGAGGTGGATGCCATGGGGATGGATGCTTTGTGGGTGTACGAAGACGAGGCCCAGGTAGTCATGTGCATGTCGGTGTTTGGCTGGTAGTAGTACTTATGTCGAGAAATTTACGGTGGCGCTCAGCCAAAAGGCCACGCGAGGTCACGTGACTTCGATCAATTACCTTTTGTGGTCGGGATTCGGTAACCTCGCCGGCACATGACCAGGTTCCTGTGACGGCGTGAGTTTGGGCTTAAAAATAGAAGTGAAAAACACGTGATGATGAAGATGAGTGGGGGAATGCGTTCCATTCAAATCCGACTAACACTGTATTCGATGCCAAACATCTCATTGGCCGGAAAACGGACGACTTGGAATTAAAGCGTGACATCAAACATTTTCCCTTCCAACATTCGAGTTGTTAGCAAGGGTGATAATCAGTTACAAGGGCGACACCATTCAAATCCGACTAACACTGTATTCAAAGCCAAACGTCTCATTGGCCGGAAAACGGACAACTTGGAATTAAAGCGTGACATCAAACACTTTCCCTTCCAACATTCGAGTTGTTAGCAAGGGTGACAATCAGTTACAAGGGCGACACACTCCACAGAGGAGATCAGTGCTATGATTCTGACAAAGATGAAGGAGACTGCAGAGGCCTATCTCAGCACAGAGGAGATCAGTGCTATGATTCTGACAAAGATGAAGGAGACCGCAGAGGAGATCAGTGCTACGATTCTGACAAAGATGAAGGAGACTGCAGATCTGGCGTATCTCAGCACAGAGGAGATCAGCGCTATGATTCTGGCTCGTTCGAACGGATCGAACGCAGTGGATTGCAGATGCGGGAAGTAGCATGCGGACATGGTGTTAATGATGATGAGCAGTAAGGTAGAGGGCACGAGAGTACTATAGTAGTATTAGTAGTAGCAAGCAGCGAGAGATGTATAGTATAGGTTGTTACAGTACTGGAGTCTGCAGCAGCAGACTCAAAGAAGCGAAGGATGGTGGAAAAAGAGGGCTGGTGTCACTTTCTGCGAGAAACACGCTCTCCTCGTGCAGTGCGCGCCTCGTTTATGGCTTTGAGGAGCTGTGTGTGCCCCAGTTCGGCCTCCGGATAAGATGCAAGGAAGCGGGCCTCGTTCGAATCATACCTGGAGCCAAAATCAATGGTGAGCAGTATGAACAAGACAGTATTTGCATGGGACTTACTCATTAATGAACTCCAGCGCGATTGTGGCCCTCTGATGGTACTTTGATGCGAACCGTCGGTTGGCGCCTTGGTACCATTCCTTTGGCCAATCCTTGAGTGGCGTTACCAGTCCTCTGTCGGGATCGCCAACAAGCCAGTGTTCAACAATCTCCTTCCAGGACCTGCTCTTCAGGCTGGTAGTGCCGTTGGGACGAGATACTGGCACCCGAGGGATGACGAGGCCAGCTGTAGGGAGCTTCTGTGAAGTGACACGGATGGACAGCGTGGCAGGGAGCTGTTGCTGTGGCAATGCGGCAGTGTAGATGGATGGCGGGGTAGGAATTTGGTTGATGACAGGCCTAGCAGGTGGCAGCTGTGGAGCAGCGGCATGCGCTCCTACAACAGGCCCAGATGGAGTATATGATGGAGTTGGTGTGTGGGAAGCACACTCTGAAGAGACGTCAGTGAAGCGAGATGAATCAAGAAGTTGGAGAGCGGTTGCTGTGGTGCAGGCAGCCTGCACTACACTTGTTAGTGAGCGCAGTGAGTTGTTCACTGATCCAATCTCGTTGCGCAGGGAGTTGACATCTGTTGTAACAGATGCATGGACCATGCGGAGCTCTTCCGTGGATGCTGGTCTTGCGAGAGCATATTCACCAGCGAGGGAGGCATCAGCACCACGGGAGATGGGGGCAAGGGCATCACTGTAGTCGGTCTCGTATGTATGTAGTTCATCCAGGAGGTAGCGAACAAGTGTATCACGCTGAGAAATAGATACAATAAGAGAAAAAAACATTGCGTCAGTCAAGTGTCAGCTGTAAGAACGTGAAATGTACGTGCTCGCCTTCAGCCCATCCACCCCACCACCGAACTTTAGCAAGCGTCCACCGTTGGCCCACTGGAGCGAACATAAACGAATATTGTGCGCCCCCACGACGAAAGCAGTGAGTTGAGAAATTACCCAGGATTCCGGCACCGGCAGTCGACTCATTGATCCATTTCTGTACAGTATCGTGAGAGATTGGCTGTCCAGGGTGCATGACACCGTTTGCACTCATTGCAGGGAAAACGAAGTCGTTCGGCTGAAGTGTGCGTGCATAGTGAAATAATTCAAGCCATTTGATCCAAACTAACGTCCAGAAGAAGTTGTCACAGGCTGGCATGTCGGGGCGTGGATATATCTTGTAGTGATTTGCTGGTGAGGTTATCATTTAGTCATTCAATCCAAAGTTTGATGCAAGCGACGTACACCTTAAATCTGCCTCCCACTTGCCCTTATCAACCTTCTTTGCCACCCTTTACGGTTCGAGAGGAAGATCTCGAAGTGAGACGCTCGTTCATGCAGCGTCAGCGTCTCACCTGCAAGATACGATTTGAGCAGGCCGTCCAAAATAGTTGCATCAAGTGAGATATCCTTTCGTTGCAGTTTGATGAGCTCAAAACACCTGCAAATAGCAAGTTAGATAGCGCACATGCCCAGACAAATTCAGTTGGACCTTGTCCATAGTGTCCATCCATTGGATGCAAACACGACTTGTTCGAGATGACGGGTGAGTTGTGTCCTCACGGCCAAGTCTAGATGCATATCTGAAGGCCGCGCACCAGTCATCGCCTTCTGGATCATATGCAGCGCAATCTCCAGTGGACATGAAGCCTGATGCCACCGGAGGGTCCGATCCATGTAGTCCTTTGTCATTGCCATCGAGTGAGTACGGTCTCCACCCTCTGCACTTGCTTTATGCTTGATGGATGACAGGACGTCATAAATGTCTGCGGAATCGGCGGGATTTCCTTCCCACCGCTGTCTTGCCTCGTTTAAGTGCCATTTTCCGCGATAGGTGTCCCCATCTCTGGTATGTAGATCAATACTTTGAGTTTACTGTTGGAATTTGTGAACGGAACACTCACGATAACTCCCACAGTTTTTTAAATGCCGAACGGATGCTCTCGACAGTCGTTTTGGAGAGATTCTCATGGAACCCTTTCAGGGACATGTAGAGTGCCAGAGCTTTGTCGGAGCATCTGTTCGGTATCCGATCAAATGCATCTTTGAAGGCCGGGTCATCGTACACGTCACTATCGGCATGCGTTTCGACATTTGCGGGCAGCAACGGCATCGGAACGAGCAGGTCTTCGGAACATGGGCTTTCAAAGTGGCTTGCTAGCCATTCCCGTCCACGTCGAACATGCCCGGCATAGTTCACCCTCGTGTTGTTTGCCTGAAGGTGAGTTTCTATACCAAGTTCCTTACACTTTTTGACATCAGCTAACGCTGTCTTTGTGGTCGCCGTTCTCTTCTTTCTCCCGGCCTTCTTTTGAGCAGGGTCAGGCAGCTGGGAAGCTTTTGACCCCTTCTTTGATCGTGCCATGGTTTGTAGTATGTTGCAAGGCTAGTTTGAAATTTTTGAGCGGGATCTCAGGGGCCTGTAACTAGTACTTTGATGTCATTTCACATTTCACACAGTTTACGAGAGCAATGTTAATGATACACGGTGTTATTGATACAGTTTATAGACTAATATACTGCTGTACTGCTTCTGGTGCCATGTGGCTGAGTATGACTGTCGGAACACGCACATACATAGGAGATAATTGGCTGGGAGTAGCGTTGCCCAAAGTGTTGCGTCCAAAGCGCTCACAATTAACTTTAACAATATAAACTTCAATATCGCACCTCAATGCCATAAGCGTCAAGTGGGAAATGACTCGGAATGTTGGCCGAAGGTTTGGCTGGTCTGCTGAGCGTTCGGCAACTAAAACACTGGTTAACAGCTGCCGACAAACACCATGCTGCTTACTTTGCATAATGTGCGCAGATATGCACCCTCCCATACACTCCCATACATCTTCTCAATGATGGCGTCATCATCCCAGCCGAAATTCTGACGGCAGAAGTCGGCAAGGCTTGCAAGATCTGGCTGGTGGGATAACACATCTGATGGCAGCATCGTCGTACCGCTCCCAGTGGCTGAAAATAATGTGAGAGGATGGACATACTTGCCAAGTAATGCATGTTGTGGGAAATTATGTGGAATATGATCTGCGACGGCCTTGTACCTGCGCTCAAGGAAATTGTGAGGGTCACAAGTGAGCAGAAGACGTAAGTCCTCAATGAGCTCCTTGGCCCGCTTCGAGAATTCATCCGGTGTCAGTGACAGGAAGGCATCAAGCATCATCCGACCTATTTTGCTGTGCTGTGCCACCTTGTGCGCGATTTCAATACCACAACCAGGCACACCTCCATCATAATCACCACCCACGAGCAGGGCGATGAGGAGTCTGTCTCCTCGGGTTAAGGAGCAGCCATGTTCAAGGCCATCTTCTGTATAGACCTGTACATTGAGATAATCCTTGTCTTTTTTTGCGCTACCAAGAATTAATGGTAACGGATTGACAGGAAAGCGATAGCATACCTTCGGATGATGCAGGGAGCACCAAAGATCAAGGTGTCGCTATCCTCGGTCATCACGGCATCGATGACACCATGGGTGTTCATGGCAGCGAGCTCTGCTTCACCTTCACTCGGAGCCTATTTAAGTACCAATGAGACAACGACATCATAAGGGAAATCAGCGACAAAAGCATACCTCAGTCCAATGAAAACCAAACAGCTCCAGCATGCGCTGGAAGTCATGAGTGAGCCAGTGGGGGCTGCTTCTGACCTTTCGACCTTTGTCTGGTAGGCGCCGCAGGCCATCAAAGACAAACACAGCATGCAGGGGCAGCTTGAGCAGCGTGCCTAGTCGGAAAAAAAGTGTGCGCAGCTCTGGTGACTTTCCAGCACCTGCATGGTTCATCCGAAAGACAGCGCACACACTGTGCATCCATGCACTAACAACACAAGTCAGTTCAACCGACGGACAAAAGAAGAGAAGTACTGTACCTAGCATCAATCCCAATCTTGAACAGTTTGACATTGCGGTTGCCGTCAATGACTTCGGTCTTCAGTTCTGACAATGCAAGCTCTTTGAGGGTTCGGTTGTCGGCAGATAAAGCGACTCACTGCAGAGAGCATCAGCACCTCACCCGAAGTCAAAGTTCTCAGCTCACCTCCCATAGTCCAGGGATTCCCATACTGATCCGTGATGATAGTACACAAGGACAAAAAATGTTCGAAAGGGGGAAAGAAAGAAAGGGGCTGGGTGCAGGTGTCACCTGACCGCTGTTGAAAGCAGCAGTCTCGTCAGCTACAAGAAAGGAAGGTGAGTCTATCAATAAGGCTATAGAAACGAACATACCAGTGTTATGCTTGATGAGGGCGGTCATGACACCACCAGCAGTCTCAATACTGAGCAATAGAGGAGCAACGTCAAGAAGCAGGGGGTTCAAAACGGGCATGAGTGAGGGAAGTGTAGAAATTGATACACCCAAGGAAGGAGTGCATAGTTGATGGCAGGGTGCGCTTAGCATGCTCACAAGCCATCTGCAGATGACAGAGTGCAAGAGTGAAAGCCATTGAAAGTATAATCGAGTAGGGCAGGATTTGTTGGAGTAAGTGTCGTCACAGATAACCTTTGATGTGAGCATGAATGTGAATACGAAAAGATGGTGACCAGAAGGATTCTGGCGCCTCACCTGGTTTATTTCTCGCAATTGGAACATGCCCTGCGCCACAATACTCCAGGATTTGTTGGAGTAAGTGTCGTCACAGATAACCTTTGATGTGAGCATGAATGTGGATACGAAAAGATGGTGACCAGAAGGATACTGGCGCCTCACCTGGTTTATTTCTCGCAATTGGAACATGCCCTGCGCTACAATACTCCAGGATTTGTTGGAGTAAGTGTCGTCACAGATAACCTTTGATGTGAGCATACAAAAAGATGGTGGCCAGAAGGATACTGGCGCCTCACCTGGTTTATTTCTCGCAATTGGAACATGCCCTGTGCTACAATACTCCAGGATTTGTTGGAGTAAATGTTGTCACAGATAACCTTTGATGTGAGCAGAGCCGCTGCTTTGCGGATCTGATGGGGTGGTACGAGTGGGAGAGCAGTGCTGCCAGATTTTTGTCCAGACGCCCTGTAAAATGTGAGTGCTGAGAACTATGAAATGAAAATAAAAATGGACTTCTTCTCCGAGTCCAGGGGAGGTGATGTTGTGGCATTGTTGGTGATATTGACCTCAAGGCTCCAGAGTACTGCGCGTGGCAGCATGCAGGATGTGGGAAAATGTCGCGCCCACGTGACTGGGACACCTAAGCCTTATGGTGGCTGTGTAGGACGAGTCCAGGAGAGAAGGAGAATGTTGAGGAGTGCACAAGTGCATGAGCATGCCTAATAATTTGTAAAGTACTGTAAAGTACGATTTTGAGTGGGTAAAGTGAGTAAAGTGCAGGAGAACGAGAAATACACTGTAAATTTTGTAAATTTTGTAAATCTTGAACTTCCGGGCAGGCTCCCAGCTGCACCTGCAAACATCATAATTTTTTTTTGCTTCCGCAATTAGGTGCCTGGCGGATGATTTACATTAATATAATTATTACCTAGGTATTATATATATTAATGGCAGTCAACACCTGAGCGCTGAGCGCTGAGCAGTCTGCTTGGTCTGCCAGACTTTGGATGGTGACTTGACTCAGCGATTTGCATTGATACAAGAAAAAAAACATTTAATGCTTGCAAGTTTCTAATTAATAGTTCAACTTTCAACACTATGTACTTCGGTCCTGGCTCATCATTGGTGGAAATACACATCAGCGCGAGCAACTCGCGTGCCGAACCCTAAGTTAGGTGCATGCGGCAGGACAATGCAGAATTCCAACCGTGTGTCAGCACAATGCAGAATTCCAACCGCGTGTCACGTGACTTTGGATTCCCAGAATCTGAGACGAATCCCCTTTACAGAATTTACCTTAGCTAATCGTAAATTTCTCCAAATATCCCGACATAATTGCCACTTCAGGGTACGTACTATGAGTGAACCCCACGGTGTATTTTGACAGGCGTAAAGGATACAAATTCACTCTGGAAGCGCATGCTTTATAACTTAGGCTGAGTTCAGTCCTGTAAACGTTAGCGTCCAGCAACAGCGTACAAACTGAACATATAAATCATTATTCCGGATGTCCCGGATATTCTGAGACGCCACATGCACTGGATATAGACAACTAAATAAGTACAACAACGAAACTTAAAATCAGACAAAAAACCAGTTCTCCCCAAACAATCGTTAACTTCATCAAGCAGCTCCTGTGCTACACACCATTGCCAGTCGATATATGCACGCGCTCCTGGAAAGCGATTGAGGACAAGCCGGTTGCTGCGTCGGAGTTGGTCGCGAGGTTAGCGTGATATAAATATTCTCGAATGCCAAGGATCAGGCGTGGTCCCAACACAAACATCTGCGCGACCGGGAAAATTTGAAAAACCCCCTCATATATCTGAGCACCCGGGGAAGATTGGTCCTATAGAAAATGATGAACCGTGGTCGCATACAAAGGTCAGTGAAAAACTGGCATACAAATACGTTTGTTGGTAACAAGAAATTAATGAGACGGCAACAAGAAACAAAAAGAAAGCTAGCATGTCCTATCCTTCAGCGGAAAAAGAGAACCACATTCACAATATGAGCTCACCTCGCAAAGTAAAACATGTGAGTTTTCATCAACACCATGAAACAACACCGGATAATTCCTCCTGCCGAATGTTGTCGCAGTTCGTTGAAGTGTTTTACAGCAACCAAGACTGCAAGACACAGTGCGAAGAGCTCCCACACAGTACCAACTATCCAAGCAATGGCACCAAGAAGCAGGGTATCTCTCGTACAGGCGATCGTGCACTGATAGGTGCCGGAGAGGATCAGTTCCTCTAGTATACATCAATAAGCACCATTCATATTTTTTCATCCACAATTAAACGTACCGCCTGAAGTATGCATCGTTATCATCACGGCGACCACTCCGCTGAAGATGATGGTAGCCAGGAAGGTGACGACGAGAAATACCAGTATTTTTCTGGATCGTTGATACATGGCATATAACCGAGTGATCAAGATGGCTTGCAAGAATTTTCAATCAAGTCAATATCACTGAGGTCTTGTAACCGTAAAGCTCACCTCCCAGCATTGGGTTTACCACGACACTTGTCCAATTCCATATGACGTATACAATCGGGCCTGAGGAATACAGTCAGTGATCAGCCTCGGGTAGCACACTCCAAACAGACTCACATCTGTGGCATTCATTATAGTGAACCAAGAAGCTGGTCAAGAACCGCACTCACTCCTACAGGGCGTTACGGTTAATCGAGGGGGAAGAGCAGACATCAGTGCAAAAGACTCACTGTGTCTGTCAACAGGATTGTCGGAACACTGGCTGTATGTCGCAGGTCAGAAGAAGCAAAGATCGTGAATGTGAGAAGAGATACATAGTATGTGCAAACTGATTGTGAGATATGGCTCATCAGTACAACAACAGTGCTGAACCTTACAAACATACACAGCAAATGGCATTCCAAGATAGCGCACCTAGGATATTTTCAAGAGTCAGGCCGAGTTGCAAACTACAGCTGTAATGCAAGCTACATACACTTAGATACAGAACGGTCATAATTGACCAACGTTGCCTCTGTCGCAAATCAATTTTGTTCCTCTGATGTGGAATTCCGCTCACCCAGATCAGGTCGACCTAAAATCATTCTTAGCGAGATGGCTGCTCCGGTCATAGCGTTACCAATACCTCTTGTCCGAATGTAAGTGCTTAAAATACTTTTAGAATATCAGTGATTTCTTGATATTATCATGCTCACCCCAATCATATGTCATTACAACAATAGCGGCAACTGCGAAACCACAGTCGAGGTTAGATCGAGACGTCAGCGGTAGCGACAACCTCCGACTGCTCTCCACGAACCTACATAATAACTGGTAACACGATATAAATTGATTGACGGCCAGTAACTGGGGTCGTCTGAGACCAGGGTCATAGTAGTACTGTTAGAGGATGGGTGTGAGGGAGCGGGGAACTTGGTGGATGTACGACGAGGGAGTTCGGGCTAGATATGATATGCAACCATCTAGCGCTTGTATGGCTAAAATGAGCATCATCAAAGGGATTTTGTTCGTTCCTGCTTAGATTGACAAAGAAACAATGCAAAATATGAGCATCCTGATTTCGGCAACCCATTCCAGGTGTGCATGTCCATGATTGACATAATTTAGTTACCATCGAGACTTCGGTCATGAAAAGAAGCCACTCCTTCCTGTATCTACCAGTGAGAACATAGCCTCGATAAAGAGCGAGCATCATTTCCATAAATAATACCTGCCGACAGCCGCTGCGGATGGTGGGACGCTGGCACACAAACACGTAATATCGTCCACATGAGTACCGAAATATAATGGCGGAAGCGGGGAGGATTGCAGCAAGTTGGTGGGTTCGGGGCTTCACTGACACAGCTGATGTGATGGACTCCGGACATGTCCCATAATATCCTTGATGTAATCTAAATGTACTTGACTCAAAGCATGACTACAACCGTGAGCCCCAGCCGAGAAACAACGTATACCCGTGGCATGCCCGAAGTATACTGACATTACAGCTGAATGAGTTGTATCTGTGCGAGGGAACAAATGGATCGTACATACCTCCGCTGCACTGCTTTGAGCGGTGCAGAACACCTGGCCAGACACTTGAGTCTCGAGCAGCAGTATGTTTAATAATCGTGGGATCTCCTAGTAGAAGGGACGAGGAAACTGGCAGAGTGAATGTCTGGGGTAGCCTACGCACGAGAAATCAATTTGAACTCATCTGATACCGACTCGAATATTGGATACTTCAAGGTTCACGCATGCACGGCTCATGTCGACAAGGTCGATTTTGGGTCAGATCTGA